TGGGCGGGGGGGGCTGCGGGGGGGGGGAGGGCCCTGCCCGAGCCTTAACGGGGGTGTGGGCGGCGCCTGCAGCAGGTACCGTGTAGGAGGCGCGGGCCGGGGCGCGCTGTGATAAGGGGCCCATTCACGGTCTGTGCTGCCCCTCGTCCCGCAGCAAAAACGGGGGGAAATGGGACGGAAAGGCTTGAAAACGGGTTTGCCTGTGCTCAAGAGATGTTGAGCTGAGATGTGCCGGAAGTTGTTGTTTTGCTGCAAGGTGCTGTAGTGTAAGTTATTTGGTTGTAGCGTGTACAGGTTTACTCTTTATGGAGTTTTAGATCTGTGGTGCTGGTCTGTCAGTGTGTTCTGAGACATCCTCCTTTTCCCACCTGCAGACGTGTGGTGCGCAAATCCATTGCCAGAGTCTTAACTGTTATCAATCAGACTCAGAAGGAGAACTTGAGGAAGTTTTACAAGGTAAGAACAAACATCTCACATAGCGGTCTTTTATCTCTTGCTATTTTCATATAAATGCTCTGTAAGAAAGAACCAATTTTATAGATAGTTACTTAAAAGTTGAAGAAGAAAATGTTCAGGTTCTCCAGTCGTGGCTCCTTTCTTATTGCAAGACTACCCTGAATTCTGTAAGCTTGGTGTGAATCTGTGTTGCCAGGAGAGTCTTTTGGACAGCATCACCTCTCTGGGATGTTGTAGCCTGTCTAGAAGATGCTGCTCTTCTTGAGCTCATGCACCTGACTGGGACATCACCATCGCTTAAACTCAGCGGTTGTTTGTTTCTGCAAACAGGGCAAAAAGTATAAACCTCTTGACCTGCGGCCGAAGAAGACTCGTGCCATGCGACGCAGGTTAAACAAGCATGAAGAAAACCTGAAGACCAAAAAACAGCAGCGAAAGGAACGTCTGTACCCAGCCCGGAAATATGCCATCAAGGCATAAACCTGCAGGGTGCTGAGAGTTCTTAATGATACTGGCTGAGTATGGCTCATTAAATAAGAGTTTTGTTTGGAAGCTGTTCTGGTGGTTTTTTTGGTAGTAGTGGGACAAAGACATCATCAGCTTTATGAGGAGAAATCAGAGGGTTTGGAGAAAGTTTATTTGAACTTCTGTTGCTAATGAAAATAGTTTTAAGATTATTGTCCTCTTTGAAGAGCAGGCAGGTGGGTACAGATCCTTACAGCTGATTCAACTTAGCATGTAAAAAGTGTATAGCTTCAGACTGATTTAAAATGGAAACTTGACACATGCTTACAGCAAGTTGGTGTTCATTGATCCAGTAGCTTAAATGCTTAGTTTTTGTCTTGTGCCGGTGTTTTGTGTTAGGTGAAGAAATTTGCTGAGGTGTTTTAGCAGGTATCACTGAAACTGAAGAATTCCTTCAGCAATTGTTTTGGATCTCTGTGCAACTAGTGCCAAAGAACCCCGGTCTGTGGAGCTGAGCTGTGGCAGGGGGTGGCCAGAGGCTGCTGCAGCCTCCTTCCAGGAAACTTCCTCAGTTTCAGCAAGGAAGCCGGGTTCCTGCATCATCCTGCAGATTGGTTCCCACTTGCAGCTGATTCAGTCTCTGCAGACAGCTGCTGGAAGTGTGAGGCTGCACACAGGGTGATGGGGATGGTGAAAGCTCTGTCTGATGTCGCCTCTCGGTGGGGTGTTCGTGTGTCAGGTGCTTGCAGGCAGTGACCTGCACAGGCTGCAGTGTTGCCTGTCAAAAAGCCTGCAGGCCGGTGCTGCACTTGCCCTCAAGTTTGGAGAGTAAAGAGGACATGGTTCTAGTGGTACTCAGGTGTTTTTTTGGATGAGGAGGGTCCAACCAGACTGTTGTTGGCACACAGGGTTACATGCTTTGGGGTGGGAAGAGGGGAAGCTGAGTTCCAGTTAAGTGTTAGGAAAATGTAGGAGGGGGTTGGTAGTTCCAGAGCAAGCGTTCTTGTGTGCATGTGAAGGAAACTTGGAAAAAGCTGAGCTAAAAGGTTGTTTCCTCTCAAAGTCAAGGCACTCCTTGGTCTCACAGTTCCACGCTTCCACCTATGAAGTGTGGAACTAGTTAAAGGGTTTGACTTTCTGTTCCCCATGGAGTTCTTTGGGACTCGGAGATGGAGCTGCGATTCCAAAGGCCTTTTTTGGTGCTGATGTAAGGAAGAGTTATGAAGTGCTCCTCGAGCGTTGGGGATGCAGCAGTCATGGTTCCTGTTAGTGTAGCTAATGCAGTCTAACACGAAAAATTCTCTACCCGTTACGGAGTTCTTAGATTGGATCCAGATTCTGTTTAGGAAAAAGGTCTTAATTGTGCTTGCTGAACTAAGCATAGATCTGAAGGATTTCTGAGCCTCAAACAAGTTTTAACCAGAGAGAGGTCTAATTACGTGCAGTGAAGTGAATTTCCCATATATTGAGCTAATGGAGGGATAGCTTTGCAGTGATGCCGGTACTGGCTTCAGTGGCTTTGGGAGCTTAGCGTGGTCCTGAACACGATACATCTGGCAGCAGAGGAGGCCCAGCCTGGCACAGCTCAGTCCTGAGCCCCAAATGGGGCCAGGCTGCTGAAACGTGCTGTGAGATGGCCTGTTGCCTGTGGGAACTGGCTCCTTTGGCTCACGTTCCCATTGCCATGAAGGCAGGCAGGGTTACACAGTGCTTTGTGTTGGGTTTCTGAATACCCTGCAGAGGCAGCAGCTACGCCTGGAGAAGCACATGCTTTCCACCTGCACACATGGCCCTCCAGCACACCACTGCGAGGATCCCACATCCACACACTCCCATCCCAGGGGCCTGGTGCCTGAAGAAAGAAGGGAAGAGGCTGCTCCCTGTGCTGGGAATCACGTAGGCTGCTTCTGTCAGGTTGTGCCCACCTGAGTTTCAGCCTCTTCTGGATGGGTGTTGTGTGCCCCATGCTCCTGTGGCAGCGCTGCTGAGGGCAGCCTGATGGCAGCATTCCCAACATGGAAAAGCAAAAGCAGGTAATGTCATCCTAATGGACTTCCAGAGTCTGCTCCCGAATGGCATGAGTTGTGAGGCAGCTTGAAAATGAGGGTAGGAAGAAGGTGGATGCCTCTGATGACAGCATCAGGGAGAAGTCATAGGTTTGGAGAGCAGCACTGTGCCCGGAGAAGACTAAACACATGCACAAATAGCAGCTTGAAGCTGGCGCCTCTGAGCATCTTGAGGAGCAAGGCCATCTTTGAGGGTAAATTGGTTTTGTACAACTTCTCAGGTACCTGATGGGGATTTCGGTGACAATCTGCTGATTTTTGAAGCTTTTTCTGTATGTTTTTATAAATTAAGAGCAAACCAGAGGGTGCTCAGCTTGGTACCACCTCATCCTGCCCTACAGCACTGGGTCAGGCACAGCATTTGCCTCCAGGGACAGAGTGTTCTCTGCCTCCTGCCCAGAGAGTGGTGGAGCAAAGTGTGGGACTGCTCCCTTGGGAGAGGGGATGCTGGCACAGGGCTCTGCTGTCGGGAGGGGGAGTAGGTGACCTGCCAGACACGTGGCTGGGAAGCTGGGACTGCCCCCAGCAGCCATCCCCATGCTGAAGCAGGAGTTGGTACAGGAGAACAGCTCAAGCTTCACTTTGTGCGCAATCCACAGCAGGTGCTCGAGGAGGTAAATGAGTTTGTGGCACTGCACTAAATCCTGGGGCTGAATTACTCCATCCCTCTGTAGCAGGGTGGCAAAACCATCTGAATTACACTGTGCTGTCACAGAGGACATCCCACGGACAAGCAGCTCTTTAAATCGGAAACAACATCCCAGTTGTCTGCATGGATGCAGAGGTGAAGTGATGGGCTCTACCACAGGTTTCCTTCAGGGCACAGGTGAAGAAGATGCTTCCTCCTGCTGCAGAGTGAGGCAGGTGCCTGTCGTGGACAGTGTCACCAGCTCCTGGGGGTCTCCACTGCACTCCTGCACTGACCCAGTGCAGCTGCCCGTGCTGGCCCTGGTTTAGCACCAGTGTTTGCAGAGCTTCAGGGCCTCTGAGGCTCAGAAATGTTTATTTTCCCTTGTAAGTGCAGATGTCCCTCAGCATCGGACCAGACTGCCTGGGGGAAGCTGCTCTTCACCAAATAAATAGTTTCCAGGGTGGGGATGGGGAAGGAGGAGCAGCCACGGGCTGACTGCGGGGCACTGCCCAGGCTGATGCCACTGCGAAGGGAGCCGTGGCTGCCTGCCCTGGACGGGGTTCAGCATGACCAGATGTTCCTCTCCCCAGCACAGCAGGCACCAGCGAAGTGTGGATGGTGTCTATGGGAGCTGGCAGGATCCGCTCCATGACCTGATTCTGCAGCTGGGACAGGGTTTGGGGTAAGGGGAGAGATGCAGCAGGGGCAAAGGCAGATGTGAGTCGTACAAGGTCTCCACCTCCCTTGGCCAGTGTTTACTGTGATGGACACAAGCCCCAGCTCTTCCAACGCTCCTGGCCTTGCTTCTGTTGCCTCCCTTGTCTGAGATGGCTCCTTAGCAGCTGTCCTGAGCACCAACACTGAGGGCTGACTGGTTTCTGCATGCAGTGGGGTGCGCAGGGAGCGTGGAGGGACACACAAGGTGCTGCGCAGGGCAGGA